CCCAGGACAGGGGAGGTAAGGCTGTTCTCTCTGGAGAACCATTCAGCAAAGGAATGAAATTTTTTTTGAGAAACATGGCCTCTTTTATAGATGTTAATTAGCCTTTTTTGGGCTTGAGAAAACACTGACCCTACATGCCTAGGACCTAAAAGAAATGAAACTCTGAGTACATGACACATCCCTTCCAGAAAATTAATGTGCTTTGCCTTTTCTTTCAATGCCTTTCCTCATTTTTTGAAGATGGGGTAAACTAGACTTGTGTGAGGACATATTAAAATGCAGGCTTCTGCAGTCAAACAAGCATGCTAGTCGAACGAGCATGCTCTCTGCTGATTGACAGCAATACAGGGAAAGGCGAAATTGAAGGAGGAGTTGACCCGAATTTTTTCCCCCTACCAACCTAGTAGTTTCTGAACTCATTCTGTGAAATGAAACTTGTAGAAAAATTTAACCCATATAAAAATGGGGAAAGAAAAGCGATAAAATTTTCCCAAATGACTAAAAATGAACTTACCACTGTCAAAACTTCAAGTTAAAAACATGACTCTCCATCAAATATAGAATGAACAATTGCCACAGATGTAACCCATTAATGAGACCAGTAAAATGGTAACGTTGGCTTAAAGAACATTTGCAGAACCAGGTATTTATAGGTATTGAGAAAAGCAGAATAAAATTTCTCAATTATGTATAATACTGATCAATATCCTAGAAAGTAATAAAACCATAACTAGTGGGATAATAGTTTCAACTAGACATACATCTAGAAATTAATCTGTAACTTCTAATCAAAGGCCAAATAGCAAAATCTGAGATAGATACTTCTTCTGAGAGAATGAAATAATCCCTGCACAGACCTCGAAGGGCCCCAGAATGACAGTGAAAGGGCACACTCTCCTACTTCCACCTTGCCTTATTAGTAGGTGTTAGATAATTATTCTTAACACCACGTAATTTGTGCTTTTCCCCCCTGAACTTTTAAACACACTTTTAAGAAATTTTTAAAAATTACATTTTTAAGAAATGTAATACCACTTTCACCTTCCTTCATTGGAATAGTGATGGTGATCCAAACACAAGAGGTGGTTTGCGGACACCACTTTATCCTTGATCTCAGGCCTTGCCTCTTAATTCAGGCATCAAAAGGGAGAAAAGATTTCCCACCCATTGCAAGGTTCATAGCTGAGACCCTCATAGCAAAAGACTATGAAGAGAAAAGCAGACAGATATATTTAACGTTACATGGGTGCCTTGATAAGGAAATGAAGAACCAAAGAAACAGGGAGAACTGTGTTTCTAGCAGTCATGCAGAAGTGTGATTGGGGGAAAGAAGGGTATGATCTCATGATAATAAATTAAGGAGGCTTAGCAGATCTTGTTGGTTCACATTCTTCTCTGTGTTCCTGTTTGTTCAGAGATAAGGATGTTCCTTTTCTCTGGGTATAGACAAGGCCAGAAAATTCTTTCTGGGTTTTGTGACCCACTTCAGGGAAGAAGGTGAGAGTGGCCCTATTGCCTCTGCTGTTTCCTCAGATGCCAAGCTTTCAGTTTGGGATAGTGCGGCCTGAACCCCATCAGCATTCTGGACTGATAAACCCTCCATCCAGAGCTGAGTGAATCCATCCAACCATGGGACTCGGATATCTTACTTTATCACCTCTGAATTTGCAGCTCAACTTTCCTTTGACCTTCTCTGTTGGGAAGTGCTTTTCCTGGTGTTTCAGATGCTGCCCAGTGTAGTTCCGTCCATTCTCGTGTGTAATAGGAGGCTGTGCTGCTTGAATGGCATCAGTCTTCATTTCTTACTCTGCAAGGACTTAGCATGCTGATAGGGGCAAAGCAGTGCAGTTACTTGTAACTGTCTCCTCTGGCTTTTTCGCATCTGCAGATATGTTGACTTCCTCAACAGAAGAAGTTCATGCTGCTGTCAATCATTTGTGAGATACTTGGTCTGTTCCCTCTTCAGATGGTGCTTATTTTAGGGCCACAGTTTGATGTTTGGGAATTAGTTAATGTGAAAATTTCATTTGACTATTGCCAGGGTTGGGGCTTAGTCTTGAAAGTCCTAACACCCAACATTGTTTTAGCTGCACCTGGGGATATTTCTATCTTCACAGAGAGGGTATTGTGAAATTTAAACTAATACCAGTTTTAATTTATGTGAGTAAGTATATGCCATGCCAACTAGAGACCTGGAAAAGAGGAGGAAGAAGGCCAAAAAAGATGTTACCAAATCAAACCAATAGCCCTACGCATATCCCAGCTCATAATTTCCGCAAATCACTACCTTAAAGTCATCAAATTGAGGATCACAGTGAAACTGTTCCTGTGTGTCAACTGAAGTTTTAAACAAAGTTGATATACTATAATCTACAACTATAAAACAATTCAGCAATTTTAATTCATCGGGGAGCCATTTGTTTACTTGAATCGTCCAGGCCCTTTTTCCAGCTGAATCAGCCAGTCAGTTCAGTTAACATGGCCCAAATTGTCAGCGTAATCTCAGCCCACTGCTTATTTCTTGATCTCTGTTTTACAGTTAGAACCCCAGAATGGCTGACTAATAAGGTCAACTTGTGATATAATTATGATGGCTGCAGATTGTATCTCTACCACTCACACTAAATTAACTCTAAGGTTGAGTCAGTATTTTCCATTATTGACATGGACAATTAGTAGCCACGTACAATTGGTTACAGTTCATTTCTGCTAATGGTATTACAGATGAGATCAGACCAACCACACGACAGTCCACATGAGTTCTCAGAGACCGGATGTCCACGTGGTACTGAAAGCCATTCCATTTTTCAGGCCAGTTGATAAAACCACTTTCTGTGTATTGCAGTGCTTTCTTTGCCCTTGTGTTTATGAAACGTGTCTTTGTGGCAAATTAACTTGCTGGAGACCTAGTTGCCTAACTCAATTGAATCGCAGAACATTAACTTTACACTGAGTACACAACAGTGACAAGAACTGTGTGTTATTTTAGAAACATAAGAATCTGCTATCTTTCTAAAATGCCATCATTTGTAAGCACAGCTTTGGAAGAAAAGTTTGTGCGAATTAGCCGTGGCTGTAGCGGTTCTAGTTACTAGGATATGCAGTCCACTTAGGGCAAAGAGCTGCATGGTTTTTTGAAACTACCTTGTCTGTCTCTTCTGCCTCATTCTTATTATAATGAACTCGGGAATGTTTAGTAAATCAGGCGGCTTGAAATGGTTGAATGTTTTCCAACCTTCTCATACTGAAGTGGTCAACAGTAAGGCTCCCATAGCAACCAGCTTTCTCCTGAAAGCAGTTTCTTTGGAAGGGGGAAAAAAGCAAAAGGGAAGCGGGAGCCGTGTCTATATGTTAAATATATCTGCGGATTTATTTTTTAAGGTAGAAAAGAGTGTTTTAAACACTCAGGGGAAAAAAGCTGCCCATCATGTGTCCATGTCAGCATGTCTGTCATTTGGTTTCTTCATGAGGAGGAATGTGTCCCTGACATACAAAATACCTTAGCCATCGATGAGCAAATATAAAACTGCTTGGTGTAATCCCTTCAGTAGGAGACATTCGCGAGAATTCTAGGGCAAAACCTTGAAGGATACACTGCACTTGTTTTAATTGAATATCATTTTGTACATTCATTAATGTGTCCATTCTAATTTCCCAAAATGGCAAATAATGATGTGTGAAAACAGTATAATTACATTTTGATATTTTTGGTGGAGTAATAACTGGATTCGATTTGCTTTTGATCTTGAAAGTTGTTTATCATTGCTGTCAATCATTCATCGCTTTTAATTATATTTATGTCCATTTTCAGTTTTTAATGAGGCACCCAGATGAGCACTGGCCCTGATGCCTGGCCCCTGTGATACTTTGTGCAGGGGGTTTACAAAACGAAGTTTCTTCCTTTGCTTGTTAGCAAAATACCTTGAGATTCTCTTTTGTAAGAGAAGCATGGATATGTGACACACGGTTAGCAGGCTGCTAAGCTGAGCTTGTGACTTCATTAGAGTGAGCATTCTTGCATTTGTGTGGAAGTAGCATATTGGCTGGCGGTTGTGTACTGTATCATTCCAGAATGTGTCCTTTGGATTGACATGACTGAGTCCCATGGCAGAGTCCTGTCCGTGACTGCATGTCACTGTCTGAGTGCCCCAGTGTTGGGCATGTTTTCTCCAGTAGCTCATGAGTTATCTGGAGCTGAGATGAAGCTAAGGGATGTTTTTAATCCATGACTCGCCGGGGGAGGGCAGCTGAGGGTTAACAGAGGCATGTAAGCTCGCATATCTTTTGCCTACATTTTTAACTGTAACAAGGAGTTGTCACTTGGAAACAGCCTCCCAGCTTGGGAAAAGGCCTGTTGAAAGAGGTTATGGTAAAATTTTTGTTTGGAGACCAGAAAAAGACAGTGACAGAGGCAGGCACGCAGTGCTTCGCACTAGGAGATGCAGACATTGGCATTCATCATCATGACAGGAGACTCTTCAAAATGAAATTCTCACAAATTGTGAGGCCAACACTTAGAATCAGGAAGAAAATGATGAAACCGCTTGTGAAACTCCCTTGTGAAAAAGGATGCATTTATTTTAGCTGATTTTTAGAGTAAAATGATCTTTTAAAAAAACATATCCTTAGAATTTACAGTGTAATATTTTGCCATATTTATTGTACATTATCATGAAAGTATGTCTGGACACCTACCTCGCATCCATAGGTATTAACAGCTCCCTTTACCACCTCCTGCCTTGGTAGTGATAACTGATTTTGCAAAAACAAACAAGTAGCCTCCGTTGACCTGCATTACTGTGAAACACATTATGCACCCAATGCAGAGGCAATGCGTTCACTTCTACCTCTGAACATCTAAAGCTTAAATAATGCAGTTTAGGAAGGTAATCTATTAGAATAGTTCTCTTGAGAGAAGTGCTGTGTTATGAATGAATTCTGCATTTAAAATATCCATTTTGTTGCCTCCCTCCTGCTAATTACTTCTTTCTTTGTCTTACCTCTAATTTGCATTACTTGAGCAGAAGAGAGGGAATGGAGTCCGTTGTTTTCCCCTTCATGAATCCTTACACTTAGTGGCAACTGTGATGTTGACTTAAGCTCATTTCTGTTGAAGGGAAACTGCATTCCCAAGGAAAAGATAATCGCTAATCACACTATCTAATTACAAAGAAGAGTAAATCACTAAAAACAAATTAAGTATCTTAAATAAAAATAGAAAAGGAAAGCAGTTAAGAATCAAAGAAGGAAGTTGCTGCGCGCTCTCAAGTCTTGCGGGAGCTAACTGAAAGCAGCCTGTGTTTGGATGTACAGCCAGACTGGGCATGCGCAAACCTTTTCTCCACGGAACCCCTCTTCAGAGAGTTTGACCAAAATGACCAAACCAAACAAAAACCTTGGATCAGAAGCAATTGTGAGTATCTTTTGGTTGTAACCTTAGAAGCAACAAGTTGCCCTCTCTGTGTGGCCCTGAGGACCTGCTCACTTGTCCTCTGTATACCAGGATAATGGAGGTTACTGTCAAATTACTGTGGCCCCAATTTAAATGAACTGGGAACTAATAAGAATTCTATATTAACCCACTCTTCCTCTTCTCCCTCCTTTTCTATATTACTTGTTTCTTTTCTTTTCTTTTCTTTTTTTTTTTTTTTTTGAGACGGAGTTTCACTCTTGTTACCCAGGCTGGAGTGCAATGGCGCGATCTCGGCTCACCTCAACCTCCACCTCCTGGGTTCAGGCAGTTCTCCTGCCTCAGCCTCCTGAGTAGCTGGGGTTACAGGCACGCGCCACCACGCCCAGCTAATTTTTGTATTTTTAGTAGAGACGGGGTTTCACCATGTTGACCAGGATGGTCTCGATCTGTTGACCTCGTGATCCACCCGCCTCGGCCTCCCAAAGTGCTGGGATTACAGGCTTGAGCCACGGTGCCTGGCCTATTACTTGTTTCTTATGTCTTCAAATGTATGCCAGTCTAATGGAAGTTAGAAACAATAGGAAATGAATCGTTTTCATCACCGACTCAGAAAATGTGGCTGGAGGAGTAGTGCTGTTCCTCACAAAATTCTCCTGATGATGTTTTCGCTGGGCAGTTGCCACATCCTTTTTTAGTTAATGCAGTTTAGTGATTTATAGTATTTCCCAACAAAAGTAGAACTGCCCATCACATTCATTTTTATGGTATGTTTGTAGAAAAATTAAGAAAACAAAGATAGGAGAGAGATTTCATTGAACCATTAACAGTAAAAACTTGCCTTTAAAAATATTTGTATGTCTTCCCTTTTAGTAATTATTCACAAAATACTTCCATTTGCTTTTCAAGCACTTTGTCCAATCCTGTTCTGTTTGAAGAAAGGTCAGAAGATCTGAAAGTAAATTTCTGAGTTGGGAGGATTTAGGAGAAGAGATGCGCATAAGAGATGGAAACGCAGTCTGGGAAAATGAAATACCCAGTGATATGACCTTTTGGTTCTATCTCTCTGCCTCGAGCCTCTTGGGTTATAATAAGCTTCTGCTCGACCCTGACTCTGGGACCAGGGAATCGAGCACTCTGGTTCAACAGTGGGTAGCAGGGCACCATCACTAACAGTCTTTGACCTTATACTTCTGAAAACCAAGCTTTGCTTTCCACTCTTTGTCACCAAGGGCTCATATATAGCATATTTTGTTTTTCCCTTCCATGTTTTAAGATCCTCCTGGGATCCTGAGTTTCTGAGGGGTTTTCCTTACACTATACTCAGCCTGGTAGGGACATCCCCAAATGGTGGATCTCTCTGGTCAACCAACCTCTGTCAACATCATTACGTCTCATCAAGGACTTCCCAGATGGACTGTAGCTGGGTCCCTCCTCCAGGCCCTTCTGGGGTTTAACCCATGCTGCCCCTGACCACATGACATCTAACACATGGAGTCAGGGAGGACTGGATGCCGTGCTGCAGGGACTGTGTTCCGGTTAAAGCCAGAGTAACAGCATTCACCACAGGCTGAGGCCTCATCACTAAACCAAGGCTGTTCCTAGGTACTAACCAGGAAGGCACATTCAGGATGATGATTGAAAGAAAGTCATGTGGCCAGTGAAGGTGTAGCGTGTTGTCTGTTTGAAGGGTGAGGTGTGTTTCGTACGCCCATATTTTAGATAGAATGGGCCAAGTGAAGGACAGTCTTAGGACGGGGACAAAGAGGCTGAGGAGTAGGATGTTGTATGCCATGAGCAGCAACAGGCACTTGGCAAGCCATCACTTTCTTTCTGTGATGGGTCAGGAGCCAGTGTGTTCTTTCCTCTGTTCAGCTGAGAGTAGTAGACCCTGTCTCCAAGCCATTGCAAGTAGAGGCGGGTGTCTAATTCTTCATCTTGCTCAGTTCCATTTGCCCTTAGGTCAAGAGCATTTTCATGAGCTCAGACCCCTGCCTACTGGAGAGAGCGAATGATTCTTCAGCCTTGAAAAAGGAATCATGGAGGAAGGGACAGTTAGGGAAGGAAAGAATGGATGAGGAAGAGGACCCAAAAGGAAATAACAGACACAGAAATCATCACATACTCCTTTAGAAAGGCACAGAGGGCACTCTGATTTTTTTTTTCCATTTTAGACAAATACATGCTAAGTATAAATGTGTCATGAGCACACTGTTTTCTCTGTAGAAGTAACAAAGGTCCTGGTTAATGTAGTATGTCTGGCCGTACCTTTCTGTAAACTGCTGCCACTTTGTCCTTTATCTGTGTGGTTAATTTCTGTGAACTGCTGGACAGCTGATTTGACCAAGGCTTGGCTCTGTACCGGGTGATAATTCTACCTGGGCAGCAGGCCACGCATAAGAGCGGCTTCCTCGAACCTCTCTCATCCCATCAGTTTGGGTACAGTCCAGCAGGAGGATATTTAAAACTGGATTTGGTTTAAAATGCAGTTAACAGAAATGCAAATAAGGTTCGCCATATGAAACACACAGATGACTTCAGATAAAAGTTTGGCCAGAGAATGAATTAGGACTATCTCCAGGGGGCCATGAGACAGCCCTCTACTCCACATAGCACCCCATCTTTCAGGACCAGCAAAATACGTGAGTCAATTGGAAGGAACTATTTGAAAAGCCAAGGGATACATGAAATGTGATTTTATGAGGAAACGAATGTACTCTTAGAATACCTTCACCTTTTTTTAATACCAGTGTGTCGCATGGGCTGTTCTGCACTTCAGTAAAAATGATTAATAGCCCCCATCCATCACATTGTACAGTATGGTACATCTGAGTAGCAGAGAGCTTATAAAATAAACTTGGCAATAAGTCACAAAAACATTCGTATTTTTTAATAACATTTTTGAAGGAGAAAAATCTGTTTTTCAATAAATTCTGGCATGGCTTCCCTCCAGATTTTATTTCTCATTTAAAATTACCTTGGGGTCGATTTTTTCGTCTTCTGTTCAGTGGCTCTTTACTAGGTCTTTGCCTTGGACAAATACATTTTAGACATGGATTAAAAAGAAGACTAGCTCATAAGCATAGATTTCCCGAACTTCCTTCTGTTTCCACTTCTGATGAGTCGTGGCAGCATCAACACCAATGTAACTTCATTTTACAGAAAGTTTATAGTCAGTGCATCTCACAATCAGGTAAAATTATTTCTCAACACTTTGTTACCCTATATATTTGGCTTTTCTTTGTGGAATATTTTATTTCTATACATTAGTATAAATTGCAGAATCTTTCCGGTAAAGTGGTAGGTTGCTACTGTTTTTAATGGTAAAATTGAATGTATTGTACGTTATATAGTTATCCGTATTGGACTTTGATAACTCACACCTATAATCCCAGCAGTTTGGGAGACTGAGTCAGGCAGATCACCTGAGGTCAGGAATTCAAGATCAGCCTGGCCAACATGGTGAAATCCCATCTCTACTAAAAAATGCAAAAAATAGCCAAGTGTGGTGGCAGACTCCTATAAAATACCAGTTACCCAGGAGGCTGAGGCAGGAGAATTACTTGAACCCAGGAAGTGGAGGTTGCAGTGCACTGTGATGGCATCACTGCACCCTAGCCTGGACGACAGTTTGGGGAAAAAAAAAAAAAAAACCAAAAAGTTTATAGTGCATAGTCAACCAGGGCCAACAAGTTGATGCTGTGGAATATCAGCTAAGGGTGATGCTAATTATAGAAAATCCTCTCTGCCTTTTTCATTCCCAGGAAGTCCACATACTTTTTTTTTTTAATTTAAATTTTTATTTCAGTAGTTTTGGGGGTACAGGTGGTTTGGGTTACATGGATAAGTCCTTAACATAACGTTATTCATAAGTGACAGGATACCTTCGTTCAGAACCACATGTGTGTTCCTAATAAATATACATGGGTTATACCCTCTAGGAAATGAAAAGGGAACTTTAAGAAGTCTGTGCAATTCATTCTTATATTTGAAAGAAAAGATGATAACCTATCTGGCATACTTCATACCACTCCCCACCATTCAAACACTAAATCTAAGTCCATGAATGAAATAATGTGCAGGGTTTTTCCTGTTCACAAAGAGTTCCCATAGCGTTGTATAATATGAGATGTTTTTAAAGCACAAAACAATGTTTAACATTGCAAACCTAATGTGCAGGTACCTTGGAGGTAGGAAAAGCAAAGTAACTCTCTTTCTGTGTTTGTTGTAATGGGAGGTATCATATACCAGCTGTGTGGTTTTCTTTTCTTTCGTGAATTAGAAGGTTTTATTCAATGAAACAAAATTCATATTAGGATGCAGATGGCAACATGTTGAAACACCAGGCAAAGAGGTGTGTATTTCATTAAACACCTTTGGGGCTATCTAGTTAGATTTTGAGACTTGACTGTTTCTAAAATATTTTGTTTCTGAATCCTGTTTCTTTTACTTGGGTGTACAAGAGAGATTTAGAAGGGAAAATCAATACGACATTATTATGAATTGGATTTGGAAGGTGAGAGATGAAGGTATAAATGATGATTCTAGGATTTCTTACTGGTGTACTTGAAAGAATGGTGGTGTTAGAGAGCTAGTCACTGAAAGAGAATCAGGTTTGGAGGGAATGATCAGCAACATTAGGCTTCAGATAGGTGGAGTGAGTTGCAATACTTTTGAGATATCCAAATGGAAATGTCAAATAGAAAGTAGGATGTACAGATCTATCTGTATGTTGTAAGAAAGGTCTTGGTTCAACATCTAAATTGTGACAGTTTGTATATAGGAGTAATTTCAGTCATGGATGTGCATAAGATTGCTTAATGTTTCTCGAGCTGGGATTAAGAAGATGAGACTG